TCAACGCTCAATACTCAAATGCACATCGATGCTACTCAATTTATGAGGCGTTAACAGTGCACTGTTAACGCACATTTGCGTCTGCTCACTTTGGCACTGTTAACTACAGCAAACTTCAGACGGCTAGAAACATTTAACAGCACTTGCAATTGAAAATTGCTTTCAGCAAGTTTAATTTGGTTTTCATTCTGTTTTTATTAAAATGTTGCAGCTAATATGGTGCCGCCATCGCGGCCCAATGTCACCCGCCTATCGGACGACGCCGTCATGCTGCGATGGAATGTGCCCAAAAACGATGGCCTCCCCATACAGTTCTTCAAGGTGCAATATCGCATGCTCGGCGACAGTTCGCGCAAAATTCCGCGCGAAAGCTGGCAGACGACCAACGAGAATATACCCTATGGCAAGCAGCGAGAGCGGGAGAGGGAGAGGGATCGGGAGCGAGAGCGTGATCGTGACCATCACCATGAGCATCTCGTGAACTCGGCGCTGAGTGGCGTCAAGAATTTCACATCGTCCGTTTCGGGACTGCGTCCGGATCGCAATTATCGCTTCCGCATCATTGCCGTCTATTCGAACAATGACAACAAGGAAGGCAACACCTCCATCAAGTTCTTCCTGCAGCGTGGCGCCGCCAAATCGAATCTGCCCGTGCCCGAGCTGCGTCAAATCGAGCCCAACTCGGAGTCGGCCGTCGTCCTCCACTGGACACTCACGGCCGTCCAGCAGCAGCAACAGCAGCACACCATTGATGGCTATTATGCCTACTATAGGCCGGCAGCCTCTGCCGCCGAATACCTGAAGGCCACCGTCGATGGCGGCCATGCCCGTCACTTTAAAATTGATCTGCTCGATCCGGGCACCGCCTACGAGTTCAAGCTGCAATCGTTCAATGCTCACGCTGCCTCCGAGTTCAGTGAGATCAAACAGGGACGCACTCTGAGTAAGTCTTTATTAATTGATTTTTGCACATTTAATCTTTGGAAAGCTTTTTGGGCTGATTGATTGAGTGAATGGCTGATTCTGTTAAATGATTGATTGATATGTTGATCTTGTAACTGTCGGATTGAAGAAATGCTTAACCTATTAACTAAGATTGATTTATTTTGTGTCTAGCTTGACCAACTAATTGATTGACTTGGTGACTGATTGATTCATTAATAACTGATTGAAGAACAGTTTGACTCATTGACTGATCTTCATTAATTAATTGTCTAGCTGATTGATTGCTTAACTAACTAATTGACTGACTTGATGGCTGATTGATCAATAATAACTGATGGATTGCAGAACTGCTTGTCATAGTCAATCTAAGACTAATTTATGTATTGCTTAGCTGATTGATTGCTTAACTAACTAATCGATTGACTGGATGACTGATTGATTCAATACTAACTTATGATTAGTTGATGGACTGTTGATTGATTTCATGATGTACAGCAAGTGTAATTATGTGACTGATTGATTGACGGACTGACGACGGCTCTTCTAATACTATAATTAACTGATTGATTGAGCGAATAATAATATAATATTGATATTAAAATTGTTTCCCCTCTTCCATCTCTCCACCTCCATCCTGACAGAAACTTCCGGTCACTCGAGCAGCGCCTCCACACCGGCAGTTGTGGCCGTGCCGAATGGTGCCAATGGCAACGCCGGCGAGCAGGAGAACTCCATTTATCCGGTCATCGCAGGCGCCGCCGGTGGCGGCCTACTTCTTCTCATTGCCATTGTGGTTGCCTGTCTGTGCCTGCGACGTCGCAACAATGCTCAGCCCGAGGGTAAGTCCAAACTCAGTCAGCTGGGGCGCTACTATTCCCACATATGACATTTTCTTTCGTTTCAGATGAGAACAAGCCGCAATTGGACCACATCCAAGCGGATTTTGTTACATCCTCTGTGTTGGGCGTGGCGCCACATCACAATCACAATCATAACCACAGCCTCGGCCACAACCACAATCATAATCACAATCAAAAGTCGGGCGATGTGCGTCGATTGAATGGGGTTATTCCACGCATGAATATCACGCCCAATCCTCTCGCTCAGGATCCTGCAGCTGATAAGGTGAGCTGTTGTCAAATGATCTCTTTAAAATGCTCCCACTTCTCCATATCTTTCCACTCGCATCTATTTTGTATCTCAAACAAAACAAACCAAAACCAATATAGAAAAATACAAAAAACAAAAACCCTTTTCGCTGGTTGCTTGGTCAAAATTTAAAATACATATATAAAAAAAAAAAAGAAAAAGAAAAAATGTTTCTCGCCTCGCTTTGCTTTTAAACTGTTGCTGCTGCTGGCATATTTCTCTCTCCCTCTCGCTCACGCTCTCGCTGTCCCTGTCCCTGTCTCCCCCGTTGCTTTCAGTGGACTTCTTGCTGTTTACCCAACTATTCAAATTCTACATTAGAATAATACTATACGTCTCCAACTCTATGTACAAATATAAGAGGACATTTTTCCAAACATTTTAAAAGCGTAAAATGATTTCAATTTGTAATTAAGTTTTTATTTTTTAAATTGCTTCTATTAATCGCATCATTGGACAAATAAGAATCTATATTCGAATAAAAAACAGAGCCAAATCGCTTTGTGAGTATGTTCTATATCTGTATCTATATCTTATTATAGTATTTACCATCATAAGTAGTTAATGGAATCTCGCTCTGATCTAGATATCGGCATTTTTCTATAGCTATCTGTCTCTCGCCCTTTACCCACCTAGTCTTTGATTGTTTTTTGTCCTTCTCTTTATCTCTATCTCTCTCTCCCTCTCTTCCATTTTCTCTCTATCACTCTTATATATCTGTCTTTATTTCTATATTTCTCTCTATCGTTATCTCTATATTCTCCAATTCTCCACCTGTCTCTCCGTACTGCCTGTTTCGCTCTTCTTTTTTTTATTTGTTTCTTTAAAATATTTGTCTTCATCTATGCTCTCTCTCTCTCTCTCTCCTCCTGTCTCGCTCTCTCCTCCTGTCTCGCTCTCTCCTTTTGTTTCTTTCTATCATCCTGTCTCTTTTTTCTCTCTTTCTTTCTCAGTCTCTCTCTTTTTTGTCTCTTTCTCTCTCTCCCTCTCTCTCGTCCTCCTCTTGCTTATCATTGTCTGGTTTTATTCTTTCACTAATTTCTCCTATAAACATTTATATCTTTCCCAAACTCTCACTTTATTTCTCCCATTCTATTTTTCGCCGCTGTTCCTCCCGCCTGTATTTGGGCTGTCTCTGTCTCTCTCTCTGTATCTCTCTCTATTGGTTCGTGGTCTTTGATCTTCTGTTCTGTGGACTCCGAAATCTCTTGTCGGTTTTCTCTTCGCCTCCGTTCGCCAAAGCCAAACTGAGCAGCGTCCCCTGTTCCAGAATCGCAATGTAATGGAGCTACGCTTCCTGCCACCCAACGGCATCACCAGCACCACCAACACCACCACCAGCAGTAGCAGCAGCACCACCACCACCACCACCACACCCAACCACAACCACACGAACAGCAGCACAGTCGAGCCAATTAATGCCAATCCAGACGGGATTGCAGATGTCGAAATGGATGTGGATGTTGATGTTGATGTGGATGCTGCTGCCACTGATAATGCGCAGACGGGCGGCGCCTCCTCCTCATGCGAGACCTTGGAGGCCTGTGACGGTCTCACACAACAAAAACAACAACAACAGCAGCAGCAGAAGTTGCCCGCAACGGAGGCGCCCAGCAAACCGCTGCCGCCGCTGCCTTTGCCCAAGAAAACTGCAGCTGCCAAAGCGCAACAACAACAGCAGCAGCAGCAGCAACAGCAAGAAGTAAACCAATTGAATACAGTGATCGCTTGCTAATGAAAACTGCTACAGATGTTCAACATTTTGACAATCGAATTTGAAATATCGTCTGAAAATTTATGCAAAGCAATTTTTTATTTATTCTCTTTGTTTTGCAATTTTTCTTTTGATCTGGAAACATTTAATACACCTTAAACTTAATGATCTGGTCATGAAAGTGTTTTCAATTAGCGAGCGATCACTGTACCACAAAATTGACAAGTAGAACAAAAAAATAAGAAAAAAAAAGCAGTTTGAGAATCGTATTTTATATTTTGTTGCCAAGTCAAAGCCAAACTACCCAAGCACATGCACCACTCACCCATCCAACCACCCACCCAACCACCCGACCACAACAACAACAGCAACTCCCCATTTCAGCAGCATATTTGTTAAACATATTTCACTAATCTCTCTCTCTCTCTCTTTCTCTATCTGCTGTCTCCTTCGCTCTTTAGACAAATGCATTGGCAATTGCGGCAGCTGCTGCACTGCATCAGCCGGGACTGCATCATGCGCAGCCGTATCATGCGCCCGGCACGCCTACATTTCCCCTCAAGCGACACGATTTTCAGCAGCAGCTGCAGGCACCGCCCGTGCCACCTCATGCTGCCTACTACCAGCAACAGCAGGCGGCATCTGGTGGCGCTTCGCCCATGCTGGATCAGCAGCGACGCACGCTGGAGCGCAGCGTGCGCAGCCTGCAACAACAACAACAGCAGCAGCAGCAGCAGCAACAACAACATTTTGGAATGGACGATGGCATGGCCACGCCCACTCGTATGCCCTCGCTGCACCGACAGCGACGCGCCTCTGGCAGCCAGCACAATAGCCACACTAATCTCAACAACAACAATAACAATAACAACAACAGCAGCAGCAACAACAATAACAACAATAATAGCAACAACAACAATAACAATAACAATGTGCCGCATCATATGCTGCATCATCACAATCATGTGCACCACCCGCATCCACACCCACATCCGCATCCACATTCGCATCCGCACCACAGCCATGTGGTGGGCATACCCCATGTGCCCGGCAGCCCGCGCGTCCAGCGTTCCCCGATGCCCGGTCGCGCCCTCATCAAGCGGACACGTCTCGGCAGCCACACGGACAACATATCCTCGGGCAGTCTCAACAGTATTGAGGTCTAGACCTAATCCTAATCCCCCCACAATGTACAGTAGTCGCTGGCAGTAAATGTCAATTGAATAAATGAATGATTCGAATTGATTCGAGTCACTTCTGTGTCGAATATTCGGCTTATGCAGATTTCAATATCTGAAAACTATCGAAAATTGAATGCTTTTATTTTTAAAAGTATTTCTAATTTATAATGCACAATATTTAAAATTTGTTGAATTTACGATTTCAATATCTAACTATAACTATATACATATATTATTTACATACATACATACATATATATATATAAATATATATATATAAATATATATATATAAATATATATATATATTATTTATATACATATGCATAGCTCTAATCGTATCCTCCTTCCGGGAGCAGACTGCAACTTTGAGCCGAATTGTATCCTAGTATTTAATTTCTCTTTTTTTTTTTTATTTTGTGTATCTAGGTTTATTTATTTATTTAATTAATTAATTAATTAATTCACGCAACGACAAATCGAATTCTTTAATTAGTTAGTGCCCCTCTAAGTCCACCCCTCCTCCCAATCTTATACAATAATAAAGACGACGATAAAGATGCATAGTTGTAGACATCATTTAAGCTCTTAGCCATAAGTTGTTCAACTATTAACGTTAACTCGCTGCTTAATTTTAACACTAAATTAAACACTTAGGCTTTAAATTGACTATAATTTTGTAATTTACATCCACACAAATGCACACACATATAGTATATATATATATACACATATATATATATATATTTATCTCGGTACACGCATACACAAAAATCTCCTAAACTATCGTTAAAACATAATAAAAAGAAAATGCATAAATGATTCGAACTCTTATTAATTTTGATGGGAAATATAATTAATATAATTGCTCTTACATTGAGGTTGCTGTATTGGCTAAATTACCATCAAGCAAAAATTGTGGCATACTTTTAGGGGCACGTGTTCGGAAAGGGAAATTGTTCGAATTCAGGCAAATCCTTACAGATCAAACTGCCTTCACGGATAATGAGATAATTGAAGAACCCAAATGCTTGGAAAAGTAACCAAGTCTAGCTACCCAGAAACCCAAATGCAAAAATTTGTCTGTTTATGATATAATTTCATATATATATATGTATATATATATACATAAATATATAAATATATATATATTCAGATATATTTGTAATAATTAACATAAATTAATGTACATATTGTAAGATTGAACGAAAGAAGTGCACAGAAGAAAAACGATTTGATTTTGTGTCGGTCCAGTAAGCGAGGGCTACTCGAGGAGTTGGTCTTATGCCGGCGTTGGCGTCTCGGGCGCCTGTTCCTGCAAGCACATCATTCATTGGATGAATCATTCAAATAATTCAAATAATTCACTCGACTGAGTCATTCGGAACAGCTACAGATGATGCTGGTGCTCAGGGTTGCTCATTGGTTGCTGATTCGGTGCATATCAGAAGTGCAGTGCAAAACGACAATGCGACATCGATGGGGGAATCTAAGGAGTCTCAGGAAAGTTTGGATACTCGGTGGATACTCGGTGTATACTCGGTACTCAAATGCACATGCCATTGTGGAAGGTGTGCCCAAAAAACAAAATGTGTGCGAAGTTTTTTTTTTTTTTTTTTTTTTTTTTGTAATTTAGTTTAATTTACATTAAAAAATAGAATTTGTAATTAATGAAATATAATAAAAAAAAAAAATAATTCATCAGAACGTTCAGATGTTTGGGTGCTGTTTTGAATTCTTCATGATGTGTGAATTATTTTCGATAGCTGGTGTTTTTTTTAATGTTTCTGATTGAGCTTTAGCTGTACTTTATTTCATATGCACACATACATACACATATGTATGCATAGATACATATATATAGAATATATATTGTGAGATAAATATATACACGTATATTGTTTGATTTTGGTATTTAGCATCAGATAATTGTTTTACTTTTGTTTTTGGTGAAATAATTGTTTGTATTGAATTATATATTGTTTAGGGCGGGAGTCACGGGTGGTACAGTGGACACTACGTGGACGTGGACACTTAAGCTTCGGCCTCAACCTCCTCCTTTACCTTGGCATCGCCGGGCTTGCCCTTGGACCAGTCGGGTTTCTTCTGCAGATCCAATCCAGCATCGATGTGGAATAGAATAGAATATATATTGCATTAGTATTATCGTGGAAATGAACATTCGCTTAACATTTAACCAGTACATTCCGGAACAGATGACTAACAACTGTGCTCTGTGCACTACGAGACTACGAAACTACATACATACATACATATTGTACATACGAATACAGATTGTGACAAAATTGTGACGACTAGGCTAATATTGACAGGTGTTTTGAGGTGTACCATAAAACGAGCGAGACAGATAGATAGACAGATATGTAGTTAGATGATACGAGTAAAAGAGACAAAGAGTGAGATTGAGATTGAACGAGAGAGAAACATTGATAGAGATAGATATAGAGATAGAGATAGAGCAGTACATAAAGTGACAATGGAGAACATGTGGTGCTCAAACATTTGTAAACACGCATCATTTCACTCATCCTTACACTTTTTGGTTGTTTTTAGAGAACCGGCATCTTTAATCTTTTTCTATGGGAGCGTTCACATCATTTTTGGTTGATCGAAGTATATATATATAAGTGAATATATATATATGGGTATAGCATATAGAGCATTAATATACATAATGTAAGTTATAAAAAACTATTGCTATTCGATATCGATGCCTAGCTAAAGGTAGCACCTGGAATGGTGTCCACCACAAGCCACTAACCCAATCCGAACTTACCTCCTTCTCTTCCTCCTCCAATGTGAACTCCTTCTTCTTAACCACCTTCAGCTGGTTGCGGAAGTTGAATTCTGCGGCCTTCTTCTGCAGCTTGGCAAATTTGTTTTCGTATTTGGAGACCTTCTTCAGGGCTGGCTTAACGCTGTACGTTGGATAAAAAAAATAGTTATTTAGTTGGGGCTTCAAGTAATTTGGATGCCCTTGCAGAGTATTGAATATTGCCACATCAAATTTGACAATATTTGATTGAGGTATGAATATAGATAAGTATCCATTGTATTCATAGTGTCTGCAAGGGTATGCAAAGGGTAATTGGTACTCACAATTTGCCGCGAAGATCGTTAACTTGGGCATTGAGATCGTTGATCTATAGCGTGCGATGAGAGATCAAAGAGAGACACATACAGTTAGCATACATGAGAGATATAGGCTTATAGTAAAAACGTTTTACAGATTCGTTTCAATAGACATGTACTAAATGTACCAAATGTGGCAAACTACTTGAAATTGCAATATCAAAATCAAAATGCGAGCAAACTGGGGGCATAAGAGACGTGCAAAAGAGACGGTTGCAAGCAGACGGGTTGCATGCAGCGCGTTACACTTATCGCATATAGTTTAAACATGTGCACAGGCACAACTACAGTTACAGATACACAGATAAAGATACAGATACAGATACAGATACAGATATAGATACATCAAATGTTATGGTAAATAGTTATGTCTATTTTTTGTTTATTTGTTTTTTGTTTTTCGGTTAAAACTGTAGCTGGTGCGTGCGAGCGAGCTAGCAAGACGAGCCAAATACGCAGTTAGGTTTTGGTCTAACGGTTTTTTTAATGGGGCAGCTAAGGTCAGTTTCTTTCTATTTTTTTTCTTTTTGTTTGAGTGGAAGTTATGGGTCCTTATTTTTAGGTGTTTTTTTTATAGTCGATTGAACAGCATAACATCCAAATGTCGATTTCCTCTATATTTTTTGTTTTGTTTTGTTTCTTTTTATAGTGATTTTTTTTTATGGCATTTTATTTTTATATACGATATTTTGTTTTGATATAGACTAGAGTAATGACCTATACATATAAGACTTGAGCGTACGGAACTGGGGCCTGAGGTACTGCACAGCATGGCACATACATACATTACATACATTTCATACATTGATTGATTGATTGATTGGTTGTTTGATTGTTCGTTTTTATGACTATTGTAAACATATTTCTTACGTATTTTTCTGATTTGTTTTGTGTTTCTTTTCGCTTTTCTTTTCCTTCTTTCTCATTTGTTTGTTCAGCTTTTCTTTTTATTTATTTATTTTTTTTTGGTTTCTTGCAAATACTTCGAGTTCGGAGCGTGTTTGCATTTTTGTGATAACGGTAAAAGTAACGGTAACGGTAACGGTAACAGTAACAGTAACGTTTAGTGGGCAGCGGTGGCAATTTTCTAGCGTTAGCTGGTTGAAGCGAACCGACTATTGGACTATTGAAACATTAGCCAGAACTCTGGCGCAACTTTTAACAGCTGTATAATTTGTAAAATATTTGATTTATTTGTTTTTTTTTTTAGATATTATAATTATTATTATTGTTTTTTTTTGTTTTTTGTAAGAACTCGAGTAAATCGACGCTTGGCGCTTATGCTCTTCAATGGTTTAGATTTAACGATTTATCGCATCATTTAAAAATTTCTTTATTATTAGATTGATGCTTCTCTTTGTTCTACTTCTTTTTTGTTCTTTGTTTGTCTGTAGGTTGTTGGTTAAAGCGAGCGTCAGATAGAAAGAGATCGAACCAATTAACGATATTAAGAAGTACATTTTACAACCAAATTACATTATTTACAATAAAGTGCGAGCGGTTGAGGTTGAGGTTGAGTTTGGAGATTGAGGTATTTATTTCGAGTTTAGAGATTTTGGATGGAATTGGTGTTTTTGTTGTTGATGTATTATTATTATTATTATTGTCTGTAGTTTGTTATTCGTTTGGAGAGTGGATTTTCTGACTGCTGCTGCTGCTGTTGTTGTTGTTGTTGACAAGTGCACATGCAGAACTTCTAATAAAAAATAATTGCCTCTACATTGTGCTCAGCGTGCTGACGTGCTTTGTGTATTGATGGGTATTTTATTGTGTGTGTGTGTTTGAGTGTGTGTATGTGTGTGACCAACGGACGCACAGACAGTGGCAACCAAAAACGATGCAAATGACGCGAGAGCGTAACAAACAAATTATCACAGAAAGGAAGAAAGAAAGATACAAAAGAATTTTGAACAATGTTGTATGTAGTGGGTGGAAAACACAAAACAATGTCAGAATTGAAGTTGTTGCAAAAAAAATTGCAGTGCTGAACAACGACGAAAGTTTCGACAAGTTTGACAGTGTTGTGTAGTGCAATGTGAGTGCTGCGTTTGCCAAATGAAAGTGCAATCAAATAACAGTAACTAAACAGCCGCGGTGCCGTCGCCACAGCGAGCGAGCGAGCGAGAGAGAGAGAGATAGAGACAGAGAGAGTGAGAGAGCTAACCTCACTTATTTGTAGACAATTAGGCAACACTAAATGAATACTGTGCTTAGGTGCATAACGGAGATGAGATATTGTTGCAATTGTCGCAATTGTTCGTTGTGAATTCATTTCATCATTCATCAGAAGAAGTGAGGATTAATTATGTAATTGAAACAACTGATTGATTGATTGATTGATTGACTGATTAATTGATTGATTGACGGTTTGAATGACTGTTCGTTTAACTGGCGGCTGTTTTCAAATTCTTTTGGCTGTTGCTGCAGTTTTGTGTGGCAATTTCTCAACTCACAGATATTTCATTGTTGTTGTTGATTGGATTGTGTTTCCGTATTGAGTACAAGTAACATGAGATTAACAACGGCATATTAAAAACTTGTAAAATCGAACAAAGAGTGGTAAGTATAAAGAATCATCTATATATGTTTTATAATATGTATAGATACGTATTTTTGTTTGTAAGTTTTTGTATGTGAGCAATTCAGAAAAACAGTTACAAGTAAGAGAGTCAAATACTTTTTTGTTTTTAAATATGTAACACAAGTATCAACAAGTTTTGATAGTTGATGCAAAAAAAAAAAAACGGAAACGTAAAAAACATATGATACTAAAAAAATTGTATGTCTGGTTTTTGTATTTTTTTTTTCTTTTGTATTAAGAGTTTGGTTTTTATATTTGTTTTTTTTTTTTTTAATTGATTAAAAATTGTTGCAGTACCTCCCAGTCTTTTTTCCTGACTTCGTATTCCAGATCCCATTTCTGGCCTTCACAAATATACATACGCTCGTAATACTCTTCGCAAATCTCTTGCAATTCGCCTGTAAAAACACATTTTTTTGGGTGGATTTTTGTCGGTTTGTCGTTTTTTTTTTTTTTTTAAATTTTTTCTACAAATCTTAAGGTACTTATTTTACATTTATGTATGCGTGATTTATGTTTTTATATTGTTTTATATTTCTATATATATAAATTTAAATATCATAATCAAATTATATCGTTTATTGTTTTCTATTTCTTTTAGATGTTATGTGTTCGGTAAATTTACTAACTTTTCGAGAACTGATTTGAAATTGACTTTAAGTGATTTTAATAGATATTTTTTTTTTTTTGGAATGGGGCGCAACGTACGGGTCTGAGAAATGTCTTGGCTGTTGTTGTTGTTATTGTTGTTGGTTATGGTTGGTATCGGTTGGTATCGGTATTGTGGGTTATACGTGAACAAGAAACGTTGTCAATTGAGCACGGTTATCGATACATATATCCATCATAAGAAGACAGACAAAACAGATTGAGAGAATAGAGAGACAGAGAGAGAAAGAGAGACAGACGAAGGGAAAGAGAGATAAAAAGAGCGAGACAGAGAGAATATATGCAACTTTAACTCAATTGTTCTTTGGTTCAAGAATCGATATCGATATCGGTGTCGATATACAAGACCCAACTGATCAACGTTTCTTTTAGAGGGGGTCTCCCACACGCAGAGTTCAAAGCGCGCGCCGATTTTGCTTAGTATCGTGCGCCTTGTATATTTATATATATGTATGTATATATGCAATTATTAAATATATATTTTTTATTTAATTTTTTTTTTGGCTTTGTACTTTTTTTGTTTTGTAGTTTAGCGCAGTTAAAAACAATATCAAAAATTAGGTTTAAGAAAAAATTAAGAAGAATAATCGCAAAATAACTAAAAAAAAATATGATTAAGAATATATTTAGAAAAAATCAAATCAAGGGTATATTAAAAAAAAGTTATAAATAATAATAATTGATTATTATTATTAAAATTATTATTGTAGTTGTTGCTGTTGTTGTTGGCAATATTGTTGTTTTTTTTTTGATTGCTTTTATCAATAGATTTGTAATAATAATAATCATTCGCATATTGGATGCTCTTTTTTTTGTTTTTTTTTTGGTATTTTGTGTTGTTTTTTTTTTTTTGGTTGTATATTTTGTATTTTGTTTTCTTTTTGGGTTCATGGCAAAATTAATGGGGAATTTACCTCTTGTGCTTTGACTTTCTGCACGTGCTCTAAATCAAATTTATCGCCCTCCAAAGAGTAAACGCGTTGAAAATATTGTTTGCATATTGTCTGCAGTTCGGCTGTGGTATCGGTATCGGTAACGGTAACGGTTTTGGTATCGGTAACGGTAACGGTAACGGTTGCAGTAAAGTTTAAAGTTTAAAGTGAACGTCAGCGTTTACGTTATATGACGTAACGCGCGTAAAAGCGTAAATCGACAGAGTTCGTGGTGTGCGTGTAGTGCGTGTGTGTGTGTGAGTGTGAGTGAGAGAGAGTCGTTGTCGGTTGTTGCGTGTATGTATGTGAGTGCGTGGGCAAAAAGAGACACAGATAGATGCGGATGTAAGAAAAAGATAGATAGATATATAGATATATATGTAAAGACAGAAACAGAGAGAGAGAGAGAAAGAGAGAGAGGGAGAGATAGTTTGATAGTGTTTTTGTAAGTTTTGGTGCGTATTTTGTGTGGGAAAAGGATTATGTATAAAATATATGTATAGTGAAAGAGATATAGAGAGAGTTAAAAGATAGTGACAGAAGAAAGAAAGAGAGAGAGAGATAAAGATAGTGACAGAAGTTAGAGAGAAAGAGAGAGAGAGAGAGAGAGAGAGAGACAGAGAGACGCACATGTAACGCGCGTTGTTCGCCGCGTGTCAGAGAAAGAGAAGGAATATTAAATATTAATTTATAAAGTCAGATATTCAGCTATATCCTTAGTTTTATCACCTACAAGTTGCATATACATAAATACATACATAATAATTGTGCTTTGCTTGCTTTTATTATATTTGTTATACGTTTCTCGTTTCTTGTTTAAATTTTTTTTTTGTTTTTCAGTTGTTTTTTTTCAGTGTAGTGCGCTTGGTGTTGGGTTGCATGAGTTAGGTGTCTGTTGTTGTTGTTGTTGCTGTTGTGGTGGCTTAGTGACTGTACTGGGGTATGTGTGTGGCTCTGCTTATAAACTAAACTAACGAGACATACGTCTATGTATTCATATGAGTACAAAACACTCGTTCGTACTTCTCGTCTCGTTGTTTGGGCCCTATGCTCATTATTCTCTTTACTCGTTACTCGTTATTCGTTGTTTGTTGTGCGTTGATCGTTGCAATTAGTTTTAGTAAAAGCTGTTTGCAAAATACAAAAATAGCAACAGCTGTACTATGACAACAAAAATACAACGAAGCTTTGCTTTAATACTTATTCTAGTTTAAAAAATTCTTATCGTTATTGTCATTTCAAAAATCTCAAATAAGCCACAAAAAAAAGCAAAATGTTGGCCAAAAAATTTATTTATGCTATAGAAGAAAACACATATATTATGGGGATAAGTAACAACAGCGAGTATTTGGTGTTGTTGGTTGTTGATCCGGTTTAGTAGAGGCTGCAAGTTATGCTTGGTTCGCACCCATGGATAAGTTAAGGGGCCTTCCATTTAGCGTACTGGTTAGCTGGTTAATGGCATTTAAAATGGAGTTATACTCGTTTTATATACTCTTTGATTTCGACCAAAATTCAAAGTGGGATGTAACAAATTTTGAATGTGCCCTCTTGATGAATGTATTCAAAATTTGCACAGCTCTCTTCCAAAATTCAAAAAGAGGAAGAAAACAGAAGAAAAAATATGGTGAACAGAGCTCTACATTTTCTACGTGTTGTAATTATTGTGGTTGTTTTTTGTTTGTTTGTTTTGTTTGTTTGCTAGCTAAACATATTGTGCTCTATACTACGGGTAACCCCAGACTGACACACACACACAGACTGGCCGCCAGGGGGCGTTTTTGGGGCAGCATCTATGTAATATTTGCATATATCTTTCAAGTGCTGGTTATATGTATATGTACGTATAATATCTGAAATGTGTGTGGAGCATTGATTGTTATTAACGGTATTCAAATGGACTACGAGAAGTAGCGACATTAAGTTCCATCGATCGACTGTTCTCTAGATCTGTTCTATCTCATTCCTTGTCGCGTGGAACTCGACGGAAATCATGAGAGACAGACAGACACAGAGAGAGAGAGAGAGACAGAGAGCGATAGAGCTATGGGAGAGAATTGTGTGCAACGCTTGCCTCAAATTCCTTTCTGGCTACCTCGCGCTCCACATCGTATTTCTCAGACTCCAATTTCAGTATCTTATTGTGATAATCCTGACAAGCTTTCTGTAGTGTATCTGTGAATGTTAAAACGAGTGAGTATTCTGCGGAATATTCTCTTCGAGTTCTCCTGCTTGGCTCTGAAGAACTGCTCAAACTGCAGACAGAATATGTGCACGTGTGTGTGTGTGTGTGTATTTTCGTTTGTGTGTGTGTGCGTATTTTTGAATTTGTATTTTTGGTGGGGTCGGGTGTGCTTGGGGTGTGTGCTGAGTTGTTGTATAGACGTGGGCAGTGTGGCAGTGTGGTGCTTGTGTGTATAGAGTACGTGAAACTGAACGACTTCCCAAGGTGTGTGAGACAGAGAGAGTGTGCGAGAAAGAGAGAGAGAGAGAGAGAGAGAACAAGAGAGGGACAAAGAAGAGCTAGAGAGAGAGAGAGAGAGAGAGAGAGAGGGGAGAGGGACAAAGAGATACAGAGAGCGAGAGAGCTGTAAAAAATATTTTCAATTACCAAAACAATAAATGAGTAATTATCACAGGGAATTAGAATTATTTGAGTAATTGAAATTTATAAAATTGGCATTACTTGAGTCATCACAAGTATTACGAAAATTACACAAATCGAAACATTTACTTCGATAATAATTAAAATATAAAAACGATAGTCATCGAACTGTTTGCTGATATTCGACTTCGACATCGATTACTCAAGTAATTGCCATGGTAATTAAGTAAGAGTAGCTCTGTTTACAACACTATTGGCATATGTATTTTCTAAGCTATAAAATTAGGTTTTTTGTTGGTTGACAAGTTAAGTATACGAGTAGATATATATAAGTATATATAGGTATATGTATTTACAGGGACGATATTGATCAGTTTAGGTTTAGTTTGCTTGAGTTTTTACTGTATACAAAACGGAATTGTACGAAAATTAAGTGTATTATACAAAAAAAGTAAGTGGTTTAGACAGCAATTATAAAATTATATATATATATATATGTATATATATAAGTAAAGATAAATAGAAAGAAATATGTATATAGATAGATAGATAGTTAAAAAGAGAGATAGCTAACAGAAGGTGTTGGTTTAGCGGCAATTGCAACTGTTGCTGCTATTTTTTGTTGCTGTTGTTGTTAAGCATTAAGTTGTTTTAGACTTTTGATTTTGATAATTGGAACGCTTTTTGGCAGATAATAGCTAATAGATAGATAGGCATTTGGATATTTTATAATAGATAGATAGATAGATAGTTATTTAGTAGATATGTGCGTGTACCTCAACATCCTTGCGTTTAACAACATACTCAAGATCATATTTCTGGTCCTCCAGTTTATTAATCCTGTCATAGTGTTGCTTGATCAGGGATTTCAGTGTCTCTGTGCGTTTGACGTTTGCGGACACCCAAAATTGGCAGCATGACAAAACACACACAGATACATATATACAAGATATACATGTATATATATATATATGTATATATATATATATATATATATAGTTGGGTAACATTCGATATGGACAGGGGACATTTGTGTGTGTGTGTGTGTGTGGTTGTGTGTGTGTATGTGTGTATATATTTATATTGCAGTAAAAAGAGAGATGGGTAAACGGGGAGGGAAAGAGGGAAAGAGAGAGAGAATAAGTAACATATTCAAATACATAACAAGTGGTATTGGTATTGGTGTGAGTGAGTGTGCTTGTTTGTGTGTGTATGTGAATGGGTGTATATATGTGTGGGTGTGGAAAGCGCAACTTGTTGTTGGTGTGTGTTTTTTTTTTGTGTTTGTGTGTCTATGTGTGATTGTGTGTATATGTGTGTGTGTGTGTGTGTGTGTGTGTGTGTGTGTGGGGGTGTGTGTCTGTGTGTTTGTGATGATAGATGACACTTTTGTAGACTTTAATGTTTATGCTTTAATTTTATTCTTTTTAGTTATATTCGTTTTTTTTTTATAATTCTAAGCAAAAAGCAGCAAAGAAAATGTATCCAATTTAATTTGCTGATTTTCTGCGCTTGTTGCGTATTGCATTTGCTATTTATTTAATTTGATTGTTTTCGCATTTAGAATTTCTAGTTAGAAATTGAAATTGATTGATTTCTGCTTCGCTTTTCGATTGCATTTTGGGTGTTATTTTGAACTGCTGGCACTCACCTTCGCTGGCATCACTGAGATTCCTGGGGCTGCCGCAACGTTCTTCAATGATGCGTCTGCGTTCAGCCGCCTTGCGTTCCTGTTCCTTCTTCAATTCCTCAGCGGCTTTCTTGCGCAGCAACAACTGCAAATCGAAATATCCATTTATGAATTAGTTCGCGATTCGTCAAAAGTTTGACAACTTCATTTGTGCAAAAAACTTGATCCTTCTCAAGTAAAACGCCAATAAAGTTTGCCAACAAATTGCGTTTGTTTTGCAAACTTTAAGGCACTGGAACTGGATTTCATTAGAGTAAAATAATTTCAAATGCATTTTTGAAATTCGACACATATCATTTTTTTGTTTTTTTGTTTTTGCACTAATTGTATTGGTTGCAGACACTTACCCGGAGTTTCTTCTTCCTCTCTGGGGTCATGAAACCCTTCTTGGCCTTCTTGGCCTTAGAGGCTTCCTCCATGCGCTTGCGCACCTCAGCACGCTTGCGCTCGATCTCAGCCTGTTTAGCCTTCTTAGCCTGTAAGCAGTGCAACATATTGGGTGATTAGTTATCGTTATCGATATCGCTATCGCTAGCACAACACATGTAGATGGGCACACGCATATGGCGTTTGGATACGGGGCTCTCATAATAATAATTAATATTATTATTTTTTTTATTTTTTTTTGCTTTTTTGATTTGGCTTCGTGAACATTGGACATTTGACTTGGTGAGGCGATTGGGGCCGTGAGTGGCGGCCACACGTACACCAGTGTACCTCCTCGGCCTTCACTTTGGGATCGTTGGGATCCTTGGGCGGGCCGGCGGGCGCGGCTGCTTTGCCATTGGCGGCTGCTTTACCGGCAGCGGGCGCTGCGGCTTTGCCATTGGCGGCAGCGGGTGCAGCGGGCGCTGCGGCTTTGCCAGCGGCAGCGGGTGCAGCTGCAGCTGCGGCTGGTGCAGCTGCTGCTGCGGCTGGTGCAGCTGCTGCTGGCTTTTTCTGCAAGGAAACAGAGCAGTAGACCAACGGTTAGTTATCGATAAAAATAGCACAATTAAATATCGAATAGAGAAGGACGCAAAACAGACAGCACAACAATTGCGGACAGAACGACAATTGACAATTGACGATAACGATAACGATAACATTGATCACTTGACAGTTATTGTTCCATTATTTTGTGTGTCTGTCAACAGCATTATCGGAATCGGAACCGGCTCGCAACTAGTATCTGTGAAAGCAAAAGAAGCCAAATGCGTGCGCGTATTTAACGGTTAGCTAAAGCATTTAGTTGAGCTTATTTTAGGTTAAATTAATTTAGGTTAGACTATAGAGAATAGCAGAAATAAACTCACCTCAACTCAAGTTCAAATGTTGCCCAGCTCACAGTGCCAGTGCCAGTGCCAGTGCCAGTGCCCAGTTCCACGTGCATAGTTCGACGTTGCCTTTTTTTTTAAGCATACACTATTTGAACTGCAAATAAAGTATTCATTTAATAATGAATCACATTCAATGGTAGGTCTTGCATTTTGCCGATACTCACCTCACCTCATCATCAGCCATTTTGATTTGTGTTTTTTTGAGTTACTGCAAGTAGAAAGAGTTCAGCACCAATCAGTGTGTGAGATTTGAATGAATTTAAATGCAGCTACTGATTGCTGATGCTGGCAGCCATGACATGACATCATCATCATCAACATCAACACCATCAATATCATCATAATCAACACACCCACTCAGCCCACATCGATAAATCATTGTACGAGTGTATGGGTGTGTGGGTGAGTGGGTGTGTGGGTGTATCCATTCGACTGACAGTCTGTCATTTAATTGGCTTCTAGCATATGTTCCATAATCCAAAATAATTGGCTGATTAGTTCAAGTATTTTACAGAAACTCTTCACTCTCGTGAAACACACACACACACACACACATACACTGATACACACACATACACGCATACACACTTGTCTGGCGTCACAGTGCGTATGCGCAATCAATACAGATAAACACATTACGTATACGCCAGCAGTTACCGCACCGTATATGGGAGCACCGCCTGCTGATCACTCGCTCGCTCTCTCTCTCTCTCTCGCTCTCTCTCTCTCTCTTACTCACACTCACTCTCGCTCCCTTTCTCTCTCACACACGCACATTTTAAATCACTCTCAAATTCGTTTGATTGGGCGTGCAAGCAGGACAAACGGTTTTCATGATGCGACTGCTTTTTGCCTATCGATATCCAATTTCAGAATGTCAGAATGGGAGAGCAAGAGAGGGAGAGAGAGAGCGCGAAAGAGAGAGTGAGTAGGCAGAAGCATAAGCTCACTGCTGACGATCACACGCACCGCCAAAAAGCTCTGCGTAAAAGCTTTCTCAAATGAAAGAGCTCAAAAATTGGGATAGACAATGCTCTAAGACTGATCATGGCATTGCTGAACTTGTTTCTATATATTTCTATATCTATACAAATACCGATATTGAACAAGTTGTTAAACGTGTCAAAATCGAAGGTCGCCACGAGTGCTTCAGGCGAACAACTTTTAAAAGCTGTTCAATTTAGCTTAAAGCATAAAACCAACAATAACAAAAGCTACAAAATTGAAATATATCCATACTGTATATCTATATAGACTATGGTATAAATATATCGTTAGACAATGAGAATATAAATAAAATTCTAAAGCTTTTTTAGCTGACTTTCGTTGTAACATATTCTACGTAGATTCTCAACTCAAAGAGTATCTGAATTATATTTTGTATAGGTTTCGGGTGTTTATTTAAGAAGATTGAGAAGATTCCAAAATATTCGAAATCATTTTTTGTATGTATTTAAAAATAAAGTTCTCATCTATTTATAAGTTAAATCAAATTAGTTATGTGCTCAACAGAACAAATAAGGACACATTTAGAAGTGGTATTCGAAAAATTGTACGCTTGAATAAGTAATTGAAGCATCTCTTTAGAGCTCTGAAATATATTCTTATATATGAAGCGGCTAACCGAGGCTTTTAGGTGATTTTACGTTTGTCTGTCAAGTTCAGCGAAATATTATTGTACAATTTTCTTATTCCATTGTTCTAGTTCAACTAATTGGCAGCTTTTAATTTTTGATATTTTTTTTTTGCTTCGAAACGCGTCAAGAGTCAAAGGAAAAAAACACACACTTGTTTATATATATTGTATATAGTATGTATGCGTGTGTGTTTATAAATATGTGTGTGGATTTGTGTGTGTGCGTGTGTGTATGTGTGTGTGTTTAAACAGTGGCACATTTCTATTTTGGGTGGCAGTTGTTGTTGCCACTGTTGCTGTTGCTCTAAGGCTGTTGTTGCTGTCCGCACAGAATTGTGTCTGTGGTTGCTGTTGCTGATACGAATGTATATTGTATCTGCCAGCTACATTTATAGCTTTTGCACGCACACACACAGCCTACATATATATATATATATATATATATATATATATATATATATATAAATATATTCTTTTATATGTATATATATATATAATGTGCACCACATACTCCTTACATAATCGTTGCGCTCAACGAATTATGAAATGTTTTTTTTTTTTTAAATTCAGCAACAAAAAAAAAATAAAAGAAGATTAGATATATTACTACAAAAGTATTTTAATAGTTCAAAATATTGTTTTTCTTGGCTTATGTCAGCCTTCTGCAACACTTTCAGCACTTGAAAAAAATATTGTAAAAAAAATGTTTGAAAAAAAAAAATGAAAAAATATATATAGTTATTTTGCAGAGTTAGGATCACACGCACGATCTGACTGGCAGGCTATATAGTCTTCGATGTTCGTAAAGGTTTTCTAAATGCAGATTTTCTTGCCAGTTATTTTTGTATTTTGCACACAATGTTTTTTTTTTTCGTCATTTTCTTGACTTCGTTGATGATTATCGTATTGTTATAGGGCTGATAGGTTGCTTCAGTTTCGTTTTATTGATTGTTGTTGCATTTTGATTGCTTGGTTCTGGTTGAGGCATTCTGCACTTTGGTGCGCCAGCAACCCACTCACCTTCAAGGAATTAGAAAAAAAAGAAAAAAATTGAGCGTTGCTGTCGATCACACGAATCGGATGGTACTGAACGAAACAAAAAGACTGAACGGTCCGACGATCCACGGCAGACTATATTCTAGAGGCGGTCAGCCTATGGATACAGATACCGATTCAGATTCAGATTTACACACACACACACACACATATAGATATACATATACATATAGATATGCCGCCCACCTGACCGTCCTTCGATGATTGCGTTTGGCGCTTGACTCGCTTGGCTCTCTGGCTTCTCCACAGTGAGAGAGAGCAGCGAACATCTGTCGTTGTATTTGTGGTTGTGCGTGTATTCGTATTTCGTATTGGTAATGGTATTTGTATCTGTATCTGGGCGCACGGGCTAAAAATAGTTGGCGCTGCCGCAACCCAAATCGAAATGGATACCGAAAATTCTGCTTTGCCCGTTTCGTGCGCTCAACGCTCAGCGACGGTCGGCAACCAGCAACCAGCAGCCTGTTGCAGGCAGCCAAAAAAAAATAAGAAAAACACACATTTGGAGAAACCGTCTATACATGTGTGTGTGTGTGTGTGTATTGTATATATGTATGCTGCTATCGATGTGTGTGCGGTGTAAGCGGAGCCGCTTGGAATTCAATGCATGTGTTAAAAATAAATTTGCTCCAGTTGAGCATTGAGTGGGCCAGCAAAGAAATTCTCTTTTTGCCTTTGCCGCTGGCTGTTCTCTAGCCATTTGTCCCATATGCAGTTAACCAGGCATGCAAGCAATGCCAATAACTCGAAAAAGCAATATTAGCCACATAGATTATTGTCTAGCCAGCCCTGGTTCAGATGTGCCCTGAGCACTACAAAACAGCTGCACAACGCATCAATGAACGAAATTCAATTTCAAATATAACTAAATCTTCTCCAGTTATATACGCGTGCTATTCACTAAGAAATTGTGTATCTAAATATATATATATATATATTTTTGATTATCCGATGGCTGGCAACTACTTGACGCAATCAAAGTTAAAGAACTAATAAATATATTAAGTATACATTTTGATACGTATTTGGTTTCGCTTATAATATTAGCTACAGAGTTTGCCAATTAGCACAAATCTATATTAACATATATCTACTGTAATATATATATATACCAAGTCAAGTGAGTTCGACTGTGAAATAGCCCATTTTAAAGACTTTAAACAGTTCAAGAAGATCCTTACGCAATTCATAAAAGTAATCAAGCTGTATTCCTACCTAGTTGAAAGGCTTTATTGCTATCGAAATTAAATACAGATTTATCGGTTTATCGGTATATAGTCAATGTCCAGCTTATTAGTTTAAAGCCATTTTAATAATACAACTATAATTATGACCTGTATTCAAGCTTGATTTATATTATTATTATTATTAGTATGTAATTTATATAAATATATGCGCCACATTAGTCTGCCTTTCCACGAAGCTTAAAAATAAATGTTAATTACTTTTATTATTTATATCTTCTTTTATATAATGAAGATTATATTCACTGTGCAATGCCCAATTCCAATTGACAGCTGTGCCCCTGCAGCATGTTGCACATGAACTTAACTCAGTTCGACAGCAGCTTCCAAACTTTGCAAATAATTTAAATTGTAAAACTATTGTGTATTGCAAGTTGGTAAAATTAATTTTGAAAGGTACGCTTAAATGAATCCAAACCTAATATTGAATAAAACAGACCACGAAATGTCTTCAATTGAGTAATTAAGTTAATGAAATATTCGTTCATTAGTTTTGTAACGAGAAAACAATTAAGTGCGGAAATCTTGCCCTAGACTAAAATGGCTCTTACATATATATATATATATATATATATATATAAATATTATATATATCTTACTATATATAAGTAAACTAACTACGCATGT